TCTTTGTAGTCCTTAGTGTCTCTCTGTAGTCTCTTTAGTGTCTCTTTGTAGTCCTTTAGTGTCTCTCTGTAGTCCTTTATTGTCTCTCTGTAGTCCTTTAGTGTCTCTCTGTAGTCATTAGTGTCTCTCTGTAGTCCTTTAGTGTCTCTTTGTAGTCCTTAGTGTCTCTCTGTAGTCCTTTAGTGTCTCTCTGTAGTCCTTTAGTGTCTCTCTGTAGTCCTCTAGTGTCTCTCTGTAGTCCTTTAGTGTCTCTCTGTAGTCCTCTAGTGTCTCTCTGTAGTCCTTAGTGTCTCTCTGTAGTCCTTAGTGTCTCTCTGTAGTCCTTTAGTGTCTCTTTGTAGTCCTCTAGTGTCTCTCTGTAGTCTCTTTAGTGTCTCTCTGTAGTCCTTTAGTGTCTCTTTGTAGTCCTTTAGTGTCTCTCTGTAGTCCTCTAGTGTCTCTATGTAGTCTCTTTAGTGTCTCTCTGTAGTCCTTTAGTGTCTCTTTGTAGTCCTCTAGTGTCTCTATGTAGTCTCTTTAGTGTCTCTATGTAGTCTCTTTAGTGTCTCTCTGTAGTCTCTTTAGTGTCTCTATGTAGTCTCTTTAGTGTCTCTATGTAGTCTCTTTAGTGTCTCTCTGTAGTCTCTTTAGTGTCTCTCTGTAGTCTCTTTAGTGTCTCTCTGTAGTCTCTTTAGTGTCTCTCTGTAGTCTCTTTAGTGTCTCTATGTAGTCTCTTTAGTGTCTCTATGTAGTCTCTTTAGTGTCTCTCTGTAGTCTCTTTAGTGTCTCTATGTAGTCTCTTTAGTGTCTCTATGTAGTCTCTTTAGTGTCTCTATGTAGTCTCTTTAGTGTCTCTCTGTAGTCTCTTTAGTGTCTCTATGTAGTCCTCTTTAGTGTCTCTATGTAGTCTCTTTAGTGTCTCTCTGTAGTCCTCTAGTGTCTCTCTGTAGTCTCTTAGTGTCTCTATGTAGTCTCTTTAGTGTCTCTCTGTAGTCCTTTAGTGTCTCTTTGTAGTCCTCTAGTGTCTCTATGTAGTCTCTTTAGTGTCTCTATGTAGTCTCTTTAGTGTCTCTCTGTAGTCTCTTTAGTGTCTCTTTGTAGTCCTCTAGTGTCTCTATGTAGTCTCTTTAGTGTCTCTCTGTAGTCCTTTAGTGTCTCTTTGTAGTCCTCTAGTGTCTCTATGTAGTCTCTTTAGTGTCTCTCTGTAGTCTCTTTAGTGTCTCTCTGTAGTCTCTTTAGTGTCTCTATGTAGTCTCTTTAGTGTCTCTCTGTAGTCTCTTTAGTGTCTCTTTGTAGTCCTCTAGTGCCTCTATGTAGTCTCTTTAGTGTCTCTCTGTAGTCCTCTAGTGTCTCTATGTAGTCTCTTTAGTGTCTCTCTGTAGTCTCTTTAGTGTCTCTCTGTAGTCCTCTAGTGTCTCTATGTAGTCTCTTTAGTGTCTCTCTGTAGTCCTTTAGTGTCTCTTTGTAGTCCTCTAGTGTCTCTATGTAGTCTCTTTAGTGTCTCTATGTAGTCTCTTTAGTGTCTCTCTGTAGTCTCTTTAGTGTCTCTCTGTAGTCTCTTTAGTGTCTCTATGTAGTCTCTTTAGTGTCTCTCTGTAGTCTCTTTAGTGTCTCTTTGTAGTCCTCTAGTGTCTCTATGTAGTCTCTTTAGTGTCTCTCTGTAGTCCTCTAGTGTCTCTATGTAGTCTCTTTAGTGTCTCTATGTAGTCTCTTTAGTGTCTCTCTGTAGTCTCTTTAGTGTCTCTCTGTAGTCTCTTTAGTGTCTCTATGTAGTCTCTTTAGTGTCTCTATGTAGTCTCTTTAGTGTCTCTCTGTAGTCTCTTTAGTGTCTCTATGTAGTCTCTTTAGTGTCTCTCTGTAGTCCTCTAGTGTCTCTCTGTAGTCCTCTAGTGTCTCTATGTAGTCTCTTTAGTGTCTCTCTGTAGTCTCTTTAGTGTCTCTATGTAGTCTCTTTAGTGTCTCTCTGTAGTCTCTTTAGTGTCTCTATGTAGTCTCTTTAGTGTCTCTATGTAGTCTCTTTAGTGTCTCTCTGTAGTCTCTTTAGTGTCTCTCTGTAGTCTCTTTAGTGTCTCTCTGTAGTCCTTTAGTGTCTCTATGTAGTCTCTTTAGTGTCTCTATGTAGTCTCTTTAGTGTCTCTCTGTAGTCCTCTTTAGTGTCTCTCTGTAGTCTCTTTAGTGTCTCTCTGTAGTCTCTTTAGTGTCTCTATGTAGTCTCTTTAGTGTCTCTATGTAGTCTCTTTAGTGTCTCTATGTAGTCTCTTTAGTGTCTCTCTGTAGTCTCTTTAGTGTCTCTATGTAGTCTCTTTAGTGTCTCTCTGTAGTCTCTTTAGTGTCTCTATGTAGTCTCTTTAGTGTCTCTATGTAGTCTCTTTAGTGTCTCTCTGTAGTCTCTTTAGTGTCTCTATGTAGTCTCTTTAGTGTCTCTCTGTAGTCTCTTTAGTGTCTCTCTGTAGTCTCTTTAGTGTCTCTATGTAGTCTCTTTAGTGTCTCTATGTAGTCTCTTTAGTGTCTCTATGTAGTCTCTTTAGTGTCTCTCTGTAGTCTCTTTAGTGTCTCTCTGTAGTCTCTTTAGTGTCTCTCTGTAGTCTCTTTAGTGTCTCTATGTAGTCTCTTTAGTGTCTCTCTGTAGTCTCTTTAGTGTCTCTCTGTAGTCTCTTTAGTGTCTCTCTGTAGTCTCTTTAGTGTCTCTCTGTAGTCTCTTTAGTGTCTCTCTGTAGTCTCTTTAGTGTCTCTATGTAGTCTCTTTAGTGTCTCTATGTAGTCTCTATAGTGTCTCTATGTAGTCTCTTTAGTGTCTCTCTGTAGTCTCTTTAGTGTCTCTATGTAGTCTCTTTAGTGTCTCTATGTAGTCTCTATAGTGTCTCTCTGTAGTCTCTTTAGTGTCTCTATGTAGTCTCTTTAGTGTCTCTATGTAGTCTCTTTAGTGTCTCTATGTAGTCTCTTTAGTGTCTCTCTGTAGTCTCTTTAGTGTCTCTCTGTAGTCTCTTTAGTGTCTCTATGTAGTCTCTTTAGTGTCTCTATGTAGTCTCTTTAGTGTCTCTCTGTAGTCTCTTTAGTAGTTTATGTAGTCTCTTTAGTGTCTCTCTGTAGTCTCTTTAGTGTCTCTCTGTAGTCCTTTAGTGTCTCTCTGTAGTCCTCTAGTGTCTCTATGTAGTCTCTTTAGTGTCTCTCTGTAGTCCTTTAGTGTCTCTCTGTAGTCTCTTTAGTGTCTCTCTGTAGTCTCTTTAGTGTCTCTCTGTAGTCTCTTTAGTGTCTCTATGTAGTCTCTTTAGTGTCTCTCTGTAGTCTCTTAGTGTCTCTCTGTAGTCTCTTTAGTGTCTCTCTGTAGTCTCTTTAGTGTCTCTCTGTAGTCTCTTTAGTGTCTCTCTGTAGTCTCTTTAGTGTCTCTATGTAGTCTCTTTAGTGTCTCTATGTAGTCTCTTTAGTGTCTCTATGTAGTCTCTTTAGTGTCTCTCTGTAGTCTCTTTAGTGTCTCTATGTAGTCTCTTTAGTGTCTCTATGTAGTCTCTTTAGTGTCTCTATGTAGTCTCTTTAGTGTCTCTCTGTAGTCTCTTTAGTGTCTCTATGTAGTCTCTTTAGTGTCTCTCTGTAGTCTCTTTAGTGTCTCTCTGTAGTCTCTTTAGTGTCTCTATGTAGTCTCTTTAGTGTCTCTCTGTAGTCTCTTTAGTGTCTCTATGTAGTCTCTTTAGTGTCTCTTTGTAGTCCTTTAGTGTCTCTCTGTAGTCCTTTAGTGTCTCTTTGTAGTCCTTTAGTGTCTCTCTGTAGTCCTTTAGTGTCTCTCTGTAGTCCTCTAGTGTCTCTCTGTAGTCCTCTAGTGTCTCTCTGTAGTCTTTTAGTGTCTCTCTGTAGTCCTTTAGTGTCTCTCTGTAGTCCTTTAGTGTCTCTTTGTAGTCCTTTAGTGTCTCTCTGTAGTCCTTAGTGTCTCTCTGTAGTCCTTTAGTGTCTCTTTGTAGTCCTTTAGTGTCTCTCTTGTAGTCCTTTAGTGTCTCTCTGTAGTCCTTTAGTGTGTCTTTGTAGTCCTTTAGTGTCTCTCTGTAGTCTTTTAGTGTCTCTCTGTAGTCCTTTAGTGTCTCTTTGTAGTCCTTTAGTGTCTCTCTGTAGTCCTTTAGTGTCTCTTTGTAGTCCTTTAGTGTCTCTTTGTAGTCCTTTAGTGTCTCTCTGTAGTCCTTTAGTGTCTCTTTGTAGTCCTTTAGTGTCTCTCTGTAGTCCTTTAGTGTCTCTTTGTAGTCTTTAGTGTCTCTCTGTAGTCTTAGTGTCTCTCTGTAGTCCTTTAGTGTCTCTCTGTAGTCCTTTAGTGTCTCTCTGTAGTCCTTTAATGTCTCTATGTAGTCCTTTAGTGTCTCTTTGTAGTCCTTTAGTGTCTCTTTGTAGTCCTTTAGTGTCTCTCTGTAGTCCTTTAGTGTCTCTTTGTAGTCCTTTAGTGTCTCTTTGTAGTCCTTTAGTGTCTCTCTGTAGTCCTTTAGTGTCTCTTTGTAGTCCTTTAGTGTCTCTTTGTAGTCCTTTAGTGTCTCTCTGTAGTCCTTTAGTGTCTCTCTGTAGTCCCTTAGTGTCTCCTTGTAGTCCTTTAGTGTCTCTTTGTAGTCCTTAGTGTCTCCATATAGTTGTTTTGTGTTTATTTGTTGTTGTTGTTGTGTGTCTCTGTTGCCTCTTTGTGTGTTTTGTTGTTACTCTGCACTTTGTATATGTCAGTTTAAAGCTGCGAGGAAACGTTAATCCTGTTGAGAGGATTAACCTGACACACACACACATACACACACAGAGACACACACACACACACCACACACCACACCACACCACACCACACATACACACACACCACACCCACACCCACACACCCACCCACACACACACACACACCACACACACACACAGAGACACACACACACACACCACACACACGCCGTTTTAATGTTTTTCTTTATTGCTTTACGTTCCCATTCCATTCTCAACATCTCAGGTCATGTGATTGCTCGAGAACTCATAATAAATATAACATTAAAAACATTTGAAACTCAGTAAATTACAAAAATACATTTGAATACATAAAACACACTCATACATGTTTACTTTTCTAGATAAACCCGTATTCCCATTTTTCCCACAAATATAACGACTTTTTTCATTTAAATACTTTTCTTTTTAGATCAAAACATCACAACTCATCTTTTCCAATTATTACAATGTTCCCTACAAATATGACAACTGCTATTCTTCAGATGTAACCACATATTCAAATCTGAATATTACACATTTCCCCCCAAATATTATTGTTTCAAAATGAACACATCTTAAAAATCTAAAAATGTATGTTTTGCCCCAAATAATGCAACTTATCTTTTTGCTTTCAGATTTGTTTGAAGCTTCTCTGAGCACCGGAACAAGCGTTATATAAATATGATGTGTCATAAACATCAAAATATTACAATCATTTCCTCTTCCTCACTCCTCCTCTCTGCTCCAGCTGACTGGTATCCACTGCTCCTCCTCCTGCGCCTCCTTTATGATGGAGTAGAGTTTCCTGCAGGATTCTTGCAGCTCGTTGTTCTCCAGCGTGAAGTCGAAGAACTGTTTGTATTTTTCTTCGATCAGACGGGACGTTTCCTCCAGATTCACAAAGTCCTCCTCCTGCAGGAGCACAGCGAGGAAATGTGAATTAAAGAGGACATTTATCATCCTCCTCTTCATCACTATATCACAGGTCACCTATATATCCAGAGCCTGTCTCTGATTGGCTGAAACACCAAACAGATCATTTCAGCATTCCCCATAATTCCCTCTGTTTCAGCCCTGTTTCCAAAGTGCTGATTCTCTGTCTGTAGCTTTTACCTTGGTTGGTTATTGGCTAATGGTTGCAGAACCCAAAAAAAAGGGTTAGAAAAAATCACAAAGTGACCAAAATCTGATCGAAATTAATGTGCTCTTTCAAGGATACAGAAGTGCGCGTGATAACAGAGGTCCAAGTATATGACAGGATGTATGACCTCCTAGAAGAGAACCATTATACTCTGTTATAGTGTTGTAGACAAGACCAGCTTAACCAAGACCAAGTCATGAGCAAGACTTTAAGAGTTCGAGACAGAGTCAAGAGCAAGACTTTAAGGTTTCGAGACAGAGTCAAGACCATGACTTTAAGAGTTTGAGACCAAGACTTTAAGAGTTTGAGACCAAGACTTTTAGAGTTCGACTTTAAGAGGTCGAGACAGAGTCAAGAGCAAGACTTTAAGAGATCGAGACCAAGACTTTAAGAGTTCGAGACCAAGACTTTAAGAGGTCGAGATCAAGACTTTAAGAGTTCGAGACAGAGTCAAGACCAAGACTTTAAGAGTTCGAGACAGAGTCAAGACCAAGACTTTAAGTTTGAGACCAAGACTTTAAGAGTTCAACTTTAAGAGGTCGAGACAGTGTCAAGAGCAAGACTTTAAGAGATCGAGACCAAGACTTTAAGAGTTCTACTTTAAGAGGTCGAGACAGAGTCAAGAGCAAGACTTTAAGAGTTCGAGACAGAGTCAAGACCAAGACTTTAAGAGTTCGAGACAGAGACAAGACCATGACTTTAAGAGTTCGAGACAGAGTCAAGACCAAGACTTTAAGAGTTTGAGACAGAGTCAAGACCAAGACTTTAAGAGTTCGAGACAGAGTCAAGACCAATACTTTAAGCTTGAGACCAAGACTTTAAGAGTTTGAGATCAAGACTTTAAGTGTTCGACTTTAAGAGGTCGAGACAGAGTCAAGAGCAAGACTTTAAGAGATCGAGACCAAGACTTTAAGAGTTCGAGACCAAGACTTTAAGAGGTCGAGATCAAGACTTTAAGAGTTCGAGACAGAGTCAAGACCAAGACTTTAAGAGTTCGAGACAGAGTCAAGACCAAGACTTTAAGTTTGAGACCAAGACTTTAAGAGTTTGAGACCAAGACTTTAAGAGTTCGACTTTAAGAGGTCGAGACAGAGTCAAGACCAAGACTTTAAGAGATCGAGACCAAGACTTTAAGAGTTCGACTTTAAGAGGTCAAGACAGAGTAAAGACCAAGACTTTAAGAGTTCGAGATCGAGTCAAGACCAAGACCAGTCTTGAGTACTACAACACTAGCTTTAGGCATATGATAGCTCTGTTACAGTCTCTATTGTTTAATATTAATTTATTCCGTATTTATTTTGTATTTCTTTATTTCCCCCTCACCCTGAACTCTCGTGTCTCTCTGCAGCTCAACAGGATTCGGGCGTTTCTCCGAGTTTCTCTGAGCCGGTCGGCGGCCGGAGGTTTGATGAAGATCACGAACGGCTTCAACTTCTTTGAGCGCAGCGGCTGGATGCTCTACAACAACAACAATAACAACAATTACATTCCTGGAATTTAGTCCACATTGCCAATATAGATTTTCTACAATATGTTAACTTCATTCTATCTCCTGTGATGCTCTCTATGTATTAATGTTGTATTCAATTATTTTATTTACCATCTTATTTCTTTCATTAATTTGCATTCAATACATTTTAAGGCTCTAAAATCAGTCCAAAATGTAGCATCCTGTTACCTGTATTTAATAAATAAATACATGTTATTGATATTATTATTGATATTTGATTCTCACGTGTGGTTCCACGTCGATGATGCACATCCGTCCTCGTCTCAGGACATCGTCGATGGAGTCGGTGCTCGTCCCGTAGAGCTGACCTTTAAACTCTCCGTACTCTACAAACCTACACACACACACACACACACACACACACACACACACACACACACACACACACACACACACACACACACACACACACACACACACACACACACACACACACACACACACACACACACACACACACACACACACACACACACACACACACACACACACACACACACACACACACACACACACACAACACAACAGACAGACAGACAGACAGACAGACAGACAGACAGACAGACAGACAGACAGACAGACAGACAGACAGACAGACAGACACAGACACAGACACACACAGACACACACACACAGACACACACACACATAAGGCAAAGATAATTACAATATAAAATGAATGGAGAAAATTATAATAATAAAATACGATTAAATACAAAAATTAAAGTTAAAGTTATTTGCTCTTCTCACCTGTGGTTACAGACCATGTACTCGAACAGCTCTCTGGTGATGAAGTGATATTCTCTTCCTGTTTGCTCTCCCGCTCTCATTGGACGAGTGGTGTCTACAGGAAGTGGCCGACAGCCAATCAAATCTTAGTATTCACCTCCATGTTTTTCAATATATATATTATTTTTTTTAAATGTTACTTTTTTGTTGATGTAGTAAATTAACTGTTTTGAATTAAGATAATATAAGAAATGCAGGCGTTAATTACGGCCTTTTTCCTGATTAAAATCTAATAAATACATATTTTTTAAAGTCTTTAAAAAATGGGAAGTTGGAAAGAAATACAAATAATATGCAAGTCCATAAAAAAATATCTAATTCGAGTAGCAATAAAATGTCTTTAAGTTCCCACTAGTATGTCATGTCGTTTTTGTTGTTTTAGTTTAGTTTTTCCTTTTTATTTACATTTCTTATTTTGTATTATCTGGATTGGAAGCAGTCAAAATAAAATCTAAACCGACAATAACCTCACACTATACAGTTAGACATGTTCAGTTAGGGAGGTCACCTACGAGGGACGGGACTCTGGAAGCTGGACGGGTTCAGTTTGATCAGATTCTTCCTCAGTTCATTCACTCCAACCCGGGTCGCACCTGCACACAGGAAGCACGATGAGAAGCAGTCAAAATAAACTCTTCAGAACACGTCTCATTGTTTCTGACAGCAACGTTTCTGATTGGCCCGTGGGGGTAAAGCCCGCCCACATTTGAGTAATGTCGTCATGACGCAGCAAATCTGGATCAGCTCCGTTGTTCCCCGTTTTTAGAGATGTGGGTACGGAGGAAAAGAGAGAGGGGTTTATTTCCTGACACTTTGAGAGTCTCCTGACACACCGGACACACACACCGGGGACACACCGGGGAGACACCGGGACACACACCGGACACACACCGGACACACACACCAGACACACACCGGGACACACCGGGGACACACCGGGGACACACACCGGGACACACACCGGGGACACACCGGGAACACACCGGGACACACCGGGACACACCGGGGACACACACCGGGGACACACCGGGGAAACACGGGGGACACACCGGGGACACACCGGGGACACACCGGGGACACACCGGGACACACTGGGGACACACCGGGACACACACCGGACACACACCGGGGACACACCGGGACACACCGGGACACACCGGGACACACCGGGGACACACCAAGACACACCGGGGACACACCAGGGACACACCGGGACACACCGGGACACACCGGGACACACCGGGGACACACCGGGGACACACCGGGGACACATGGTGATGTAGAGAAGACATCACTTTGTTAGTCTCCTGACACACCGGGGGGACACCGGGACACACCGGGACACACCGGGACACACCGGGACACACCGGGACACACCGGGACACACCGGGGACACACCGGGACACACCGGGGACACATGGTGATGTAGAGAAGACATCACTTTGTTAGTCTCCTGACACACCGGGGACACACCGGGGGGACACGGGGGACACACTGGGTACACACACCATGGACACATAGTGATGTAGAAAAGACATCAGGAAGTGACTTTTGCGTACTAGGGGACTTTTAATCTATCTTTGTCTCTTTTGCCGTAACAATGCACATGTCCCCCTCCCCATGTTCTGACTCTCAGGTAAAGATCCTGTATCTTGAGATGTGATGAACCTGACCCACAGTATTGATGCATTAATGTTATTCTTAATGTTTGTGGTGGGGGGGGTTATTTCCCCGGGCCTCACCGAGCAGGATGATGAGGCGGTGGTTCTCCTGGGGGGGGCGCTGGTACAGAGCCACCTCCTCGTAGGGGGGGCAGAGGGTGCTGGTGTCGGGGGAGCAGGAGCTGCAGGACTGACGCCTCCTTCTGTATGACGTGCGCCTCCACAGACGGAAACTACGCCGGAAACCAGCTGGGGAACGTCAAGAAAAAATGTAGTTTAAATTACAAAAAATTACAATCTTTTTTGAAGTAAATTACAAATAAATTGGAAATAAATTACAAATAAATTACAAATAAATTGGAAATAAATTACAAATAAATCACATTTAGCGGGCGGTTTTATTCATCTGTTTGGTTCCAACATTATTATCTATAATTAGAATAAACAGTATTTCACTTTACATTCTCTTCTTGTTTATCTTGCTCTATTTACATGTTTGTAATGTGTAATAGAATTGTTTATTTCTACTCTTTTAATTTCTACTTATGTGCCAACATTTCCCAAATTGGGATCAATAAAGTACATCTTATCTTATCTTATGTATATATGCAACATTTAGCTTATTGTTGTTGTTTTCTTACATCAAACAAACAAATGAACCCACAACAAACAAACTTATATACTTAAATAAATCATCTAAATGGTGTCTCACCGAGGTAAATCCCATCGGTGACTTCAGAGTCCGCCTCGTCTGAAGGAAGAAGACATTCAAATAAAAAGGCGTTACACTAAAGTACATTTGACTGTGCTCATAGGGAAACTAGTAACAAAACAACTGGTTTCATCACGACGTGCTGTACCTGTTGCCGGACAGTTTTCATCAGCAGGTGTTTGAATGTTATCTGAAATAAAAACAGAATCAACTTTGTTTCAGCAGCTCTCACTTGAACATATCGGGTGATCATGATGAATGAATAAAGTCTGGTCTCACCAGCGTTTCCTCCCACGGTCACTGAGGACAGAAACACAGGCTTAACATGTGATGAAAATCTCTTCATGTACAGCAGGGACATGCACTGTTAGTTCAGAGAAGCACCGTTTATAAGTGAGGAGACGCAGAGAGACATTTAACAGCATTCCTCCTCATACGGCGCCAGGAGGACGCTCAGAAGGACGCTCAGGAGGACGCTCAGGAGGAAGTCAAAATATCAGGAATACATAACAAATGTGGAAGATTGATTTAAAAATATTGAGAATCAATTAAAAATATTGAGAATAAATCTAAATTGTCAGGAATACATAAACAATGTGGAGATTTAATTATAAATATTGAGAATTATTTTGAAAATATTGAGAATTAATCAAAAATATTGAGAATAGAATACAAATGTTAAATGTGGAGGATACTTTTGAAGTTTTAAGAACACGTTTGAAATGTAGAGAAAAAAAGAAACATGTCCAAAATCAAATAGAGTTTCAATGTCAAAATATAGAGAATAAAACAGACATTTTGGGTTAAAAAATAAAGTAAAAAGTGTCGAGAAACTTTCCAAACTAAATCAAACTAATCTCCACTTCTCCATAAAACAACATTTATATTTCAATGTTTCCCCACTTATGCCTGACACACTTACATTAAAGGTGGGGTAGGTCATTTTGGAGAAACCAGCTCGAGATCGCTAGAATTTGAAAATACACAACCGGAAAAGATCTGCCCCTTCCTCACAGAGCCCCTCCCCCAACACACACGAACGCGCTCATGACCAATGAGGGCAGAGATCAGTTTGTGCCCAGATGGAAGGCTGACAGGCAGGTAGGCCATCCAGTACTTTAGCCGGCTCAGATGATTGGTCGAGCTTTCTACAGAACCACCCACTGATGATGTTTATTTATGGATTTATTGTCAAAGCACTTCAGATATTCATTGCTATCGGGATGACAACAAGTGTACCTCGAGCCGGTTTCTCTAACTTACCTACCCCACCTTAAACAATCATGTTTTTGAATCTGTGTCGTACTGAAGTATTACAACGGTTTCCTGCAGACTGTAGATCATAGATGTAAATATGAAATACACATAGATAATAGATAATAAACAGAGACTCACGGGGTTTGATGCAGGTGTGAACCTGAAGGGGCTGAGACCACCAATTCTCCCTCTGCTTACTGAAGAGAGGAAGACACAACTGTTCACTTCCTATCAGACCAAATGAGTGCTTTATTAATCCCTAATTAGGACTCTTTTGGAACAGCAGCATGTTCAAAATAAACAGTAAATACAGTAGAGAGATATTTAACTTCACACAGCTCCCTCTAAGTGCTTTATACTACTTTTAGAAACGTGCAGTACAACTCCCTGAAAACACACAGTTAGAAGTTAGCTAACATCTTTAACACTATGCAGATGACACCCATATTTACCTTTCTATATCTCAACACCGTTAAGCCACATAAGTGATAACAGACGTACCTAGATACACTGTAAACATCAGCACAGTGTGCTATAGCTTGTAGGAGCCAACATGCTTATCTAGCCTGAGGAAATGATCTGCATTGTTGTTGTCATTTTAGATCGCACACATTTGTATTTAATGACCACTTCAGGTGTTTGTCACATGGGTCTTGTTTGTTTGTATTTAGTCCACCTGTTGTTTGTACGACACAGAGGGCGAGCTCATTTTCTGTTGAACGTTTGGTCCTCTTTGAGTTATTAGACTTCGTTAAGCTCTAACTTCAGTACGTCTCTTTTAGTGATAGAGACCGTTCATTGGGAGATTTGACGCAACAATGCTGTTTTTATTCATTTAAATGCAACACTACAGTTATTATATCCATGTAAATATGATGATCTCATCACCTCCGGAGCATGCTAGCGGAGGGGATGATCCCAGCGCAGGTGGAGGAAGAAGAGGGGGAGGAGCTTATCTTCATGGGGGAGGAGATTATCTTCCTAGCCTGCCACCACCTGGCGTCGCTCTGATCCACGACCTGCAGCAGCTCTCCTCTGCTGAACATCATGCCTGCAGGGGGGCAGGGGCTGCAGGTGTCCAGCAGGGGGCAGTAGTCCACCATCGCCTTCATGAACACCTGGGGGGGAGAAGAAGAAGAAAGAATCAGAATCAGAATCAGATTCAGAATCAGAATCAGAAACAAAATCAGAAATTCTGATTCTGATTCTGAATCTGATTCTGAATCTGATTCTGAATCTGATTCTGAATCTGATTCTGAATCTGATTCTGAATCTGATTGTGATTTTGTTTTTTCAAAATTCTGACTTCTACCTAAACAAAAATCACTTCTGGTCAGATCTCATCTTTGTTTTTCAGTGTTACAAATCTGCCTTTTTTGCTCAGAACTGAAATCACTTCTGGTCAGATCTCAACTCGGTGGCCCTTAACCCTCTTCTGCCTGAATTCGTTGTGGAGTTCTGTATTTGTAAAGTGTGTTATGAAAACAATGAGAGAAAGAACCGGACAGTGGCAGAGCACTCACCGTCTTCTGGCTGTTCCCGCTGCTCTGCGCTGCATCAGGAATGACTTTAAACAGGATCGTTCCACAGGACTTCATCTGCAAACACAGCATGTAGTGAAAGACAGATACACTCTGTATAAGACATCTCAGTTTCATATTGTGCACTAATTGTCCTCTTGTCCTCGACTGAAGTTGCTATCCTCTGCCATCCCTGGGCTTTATTTATTAATATTTCAATACAGTGGAGGAAATAAGTATTTGATCCCTTGCAGATTTTGTAAGTTTACCCACTTACAAAGAAATGAACAGTCTATACTTGTAATGGTTTTATTTTAACAGTGAGAGTAAGAATAACAAAAAGAACATCCCGAAATTGACATTATCTAAAACTTTTAGATAATGTCAATTTCGGGATTTTCTTTTGACAGGTTCCGCCCGCTGTGAGGTCTATACGGCCTGTCCACACAGCAGCTTTGAACAAATCTTGAAAATCTTGGAGCTGGGCGTGTCTGACAGCTTGGGGATTTTTTGCGAGCAACACGACCAACAACCAATCACATGAATCTCCCGCCCCCGACATACAAAGCAAAAAAAAACGGGGATTTTATGCGAGCAATATATATATATATAAACTCCCCAAACAGGTGAAAACCTACCAGTTTCACCCACTGTCTCTGGCACCTCCCTCCATGCCTGGTTCCTCCACTGTCTCTGCCTCCTCCCTCCATGCCTGGTTCCTCCACTGTCTCTGCCTCCTCCCTCCATGCCTGGTTCCTCCACTGTCTCTGCCTCCTCCCTCCATGCCTGGTTCCTCCACTGTCTCTGCCTCCTCCCTCCATGCCTGGTTCCTCTACTGTCTCTGCCTCCTCCCTCCATGCCTGGTTCCTCCACTGTCTCTGGCTCCTCCCTCCATGCCTGGTTCCTCCACTGTCTCTGCCTCCTCCCTCCATGCCTGGTTCCTCTACTGTCTCTGCCTCCTCCCTCCATGCCTGGCTCCTCCACTGTCTCTGCCTCCTCCCTCCATGCCTGGTTCCTCCACTGTCTCTGCCTCCTCCCTCCATGCCTGGCTCCTCCACTGTCTCTGCCTCCTCCTCCATGCCTGGTTCCTCCACTGTCTCTGCCTCCTCCCTCCATGCCTGGTTCCTCCACTGTCTCTGCCTCCTCCCTCCATGCCTGGTTCCACCCACTGTCTCTGCCTCCTCCCTCCATGCCTGGTTCCTCCACTTGTCTCTGCCACCTCCCTCCATGCCTGGCTCCTCCACTGTCTCTGCCTCCTCCCTCCATGCCTGGCTCCTCCACTGTCTCTGGCACCTCCCTCCATGCCTGGTTCCTCCACTGTCTCTGCCTCCTCCCTCCATGCCTGGCTCCTCCACTGTCTCTGGCACCTCCCTCCATGCCTGGTTCCTCCACTGTCTCTGGCACCTCCCTCCATGCCTGGTTCCTCCACTGTCTCTGCCCTCCTCCCTCATGCCTGGTTTCCTCCACTGTGTCTGCCTCCTCCCTCCATGCCTGGCTCCTCCACTGTCTCTGCCACCTCCCCTCCATGCCTGGTTTCCTCCACTGTGTCTGCCTCCTCCCTCCATGCCTGGTTCCTCCACTGTCTCGCCTCCCTCCCCTCCATGCCTGGTTCCTCCACTGTCTCTGGCAACCTCCCTCCATGCCTGGTTCCTCCACTGTGTCTGCCTCCTCCCTCCATGCCTGGTTCCCTCACTGTCTCTGCCTCCTCCCTCATGCCTGGTTCCTCCTCCACTGTCTCTGGCACCTCCCTCCATGCCTGGTTCCTCCACTGTGTCTGCCTCCTCCCTCCATGCCTGGTTCCTCCACTGTGTCTGCCTCCTCCCTCCATGCCTGGTTCCTCCACTGTCTCTGCCTCCTCCATCCATGCCTGGTTCCTCCACTGTCTCTGCCTCCTCCCTCCATGCCTGGTCCTCCACGTGTCTCTGCCCCTCCCTCATGCCTGGTTCCTCCACTGTGTCTGCCTCCTCCCTCCATGCCTGGCTTCCCTCCACTGTCTCTGCCTACCTCCCTCCATGCCTGGTTCCTCCACTGTCTCTGCCTCCTCCCTCCAGCCTGGTTCCTCCACTGTCTCTGCTCCTCCCCTCCATGCCTGGTTCCTCCACTGTCTCTGCCTCCTCCCTCCATGCCTGGTTCCTCCACTGTCTGCCTCCTCCCTCCATGCCTGGCTCCTCCACTGTCTCTGCCACCTCCCTCCATGCCTGGTTCCTCCACTGTGTCTGCCTCCTCCCCCATGCCTGGTTCCTCCACTGTCTCTGCCCATCCCTCCATGCCTGGTTCCTCCACTGTCTCTGCCTCCTCCCTCCATGCCTGGTTCCTCCACTGTCTCTGCCTCCTCCCTCCATGCCTGGTTCCTCCACTGTCTCTGCCTCTCCCTCCATGCTGGTTCCTCCACTGTCTCTGCCCCTCCCTCCATGCCTGGTTCCTCCACTGTCTCTGGCACCTCCCTCCATGCCTGGTTCCTCCACTGTCTCTGCCACCTCCCTCCATGCCTGGTTCCTCCACTGTCTCTGCCTCCTCCCTCCATGCTGGTTCCTCCACTGTCTCTGCACCTCCCTCCATGCCTGGTTCCTCCACTGTCTCTGGCTCCTGGCTCCTCCACTGTCTCTGGCCTCCCTCCATGCTGGCTCCTCCACTGTCTCTGCCACCTCCCTCCATGCCTGGTTCCTCCACTGTCTCTGCACCTCCCTCCATGCCTGGTTCCTCCACTGTCTCTGCATCCTCCCTCCATGCCTCGGTTCCTCCACTGTCTCTGCCACCTCCCTCCATGCCTGGTTCCTCCACTGTCTCTGCCACCTCCCTCCATGCCTGGCTCCTCCACTGTCTCTGGCCACCTCCCTCCATGCCTGGTTCCTCCACTGTCTCTGCCTCCTCCCTCCATGCCTGGTTCCTCCACTGTCTCTGCCTCCTCCCTCCATGCCTGGTTCCTCCACTGTCTCTGCCTACCTCCCTCCATGCCTCGGCTTCCTCCACTGTCTCTGCCACCTCCCTCCATGCCTGGTTCCTCCACTGTCTCTGCCACCTCCCTCCATGCCTGGTTCCTCCACTGTCTCTGCCTCCTCCCTCCATGCCTGGCTTCCTCCACTGTCTCTGCCTCCTCCCTCCATGCCTGGTTCCTCCACTGTTCTCTGCCTCCTCCCTCCATGCCTGGTTCCTCCACTGTCTCTGCACCTCCCTCCATGCCTGGTTCCTCCACTGTCTCTGCCTCCTCCCTCCATGCCTGGTTCCTCCACTGTCTCTGCCTCCCTCCATGCCTGGCTCCTCCACTGTCTCTGCCTTCCCTCCATGCCTGGTTCCTCCACTGTCTCTGCCTCCTCCCTCCATGCCTGGTTCCTCCACTGTCTCTGCCTCCTCCCTCCATGCCTGGTTCCTCCACTGTCTCTGGCACCTCCCTCCATGCCTGGTTCCTCCACTGTCTCTGCCTCCTCCCTCCATGCCTGGTTCCTCCATGTCTCTCCTCCCTCCATGCCTGGCTCCTCCACTGTCTCTGCCTCCTCCCCATGCCTGGTTCCTCCACTGTCTCTGCCACCTCCCTCCATGCCTGGTTCCTCCACTGTCTCTGCCTCCTCCCTCCATGCCTGGTTCCTCCACTGTCTCTGCACCTCCCTCCATGCCTGGTTCCTCCACTGTCTCTGCCTCCTCCCTCCATGCCTGGTTCCTCCATTGTCTCTGGCTACCTCCCTCATGCCTGGTTCCTCCACTGTCTCTGCCTCCTCCCTCCATGCCTGGTTCCTCCACTGTCTCTGCCACCTCCCTCCATGCCTGGTTCCTCCACTGTCTCTGCCTCCTCCCTCCATGCCTGGTTCCTCCACTGTCTCTGGCACCTCCCTCCATGCCTGGTTCCTCCACTGTCTCTGCCACCTCCCTCCATGCCTGGTTCCTCCACTGTGTCTGGCCACCTCCCTCCATGGCCTGGTTCCTCCACTGTCTCTGGCTCCTCCCTCCATGCCTGGTTCCTCCACTGTCTCTGGCACCTCCCTCCATGCCTGGTTCCTCCACTGTCTCTGCCTCCTCCCTCCATGCCTGGTTCCTCCACTGTCTCTGGCACCTCCCTCCATGCCTGGTTCCTCCACTGTCTCTGCCTCCTCCCTCCATGCCTGGTTCCTCCACTGTGTCTGCCACCTCCCTCCATGCCTGGTTCCTCCACTGTCTCTGGCACCTCCCTCCATGCCTGGTTCCTCCACTGTCTCTGGCACCTCCCTCCATGCCTGGTTCCTCCACTGTCTCTGCCACCTCCCTCCATGCCTGGTTCCTCCGGTTTGTATCCCGGTAATAGTCTGGTCGTAAAGAACCGGGTGATTTGCTACCGTAACTTCTCGTTTGGAATATGAGGAAATGAACTGCGGTCTGGCTCTCCCAGCTTACACACGGTTTGATTGGCTAGCGCTTCTACTGTCAGATTTGCATAAACGGGTTTGATTGGCTGACGCTTCCAGCTCAGCTTCAAAAGTTGAACATTGCTCAACTTTTGAATCCTGAACATCCTGGAAATCCTGGAAATCTTCGCTTCGCTCCCCCACAATGCAGTTCGGCGACAAGCGAGGAAAAGTGACGTCATCCCCATTCAAAGTCAATGGGCAGAGAAGCGTTGGAAGCGGTGGAAGAATCGTCTAAAGCTGCTGTGTGGACGGGCCGTAAGTCATTTTCAATGCGGGCCGCCGTGCCGACTTCATTCATTTGTAATTGTTACTTGGCTGTGGCTGCCCTGTCCTGATAGGTGGTTAGATACATGGTGTTGTTTTGTGAGGTAGAGGATCGCTATCATTGATGCGTTTTGCACTCCGGGCCGCTGTTTTGATATTCCGCTGAAGTATACGCTGTGACGTAATATCTCTTCTTTTTTTTCTCGAGGGAGGGGGGGTCAGAGGGCCTAGGTATAAAAGTCACGGCTCGCCACTGTCTAAAAGATAAAAATGTATTTGCATTGAACTGTGTGGAATTTGATCCCCTCGCAGAACATGTGTTAGTACTTGGTGGAGAAACCCTTGTTGGACACACAGAGGTCACACAGAGGTCAGACAGAGGTCACACAGAGGTCAGACGCTTCTTGTAGTTGGTCTCCAGGTCTGTGCACATCTCAGGAAGGATGTTGGTCC